TGGTGCTGGTGCTGGTGCTGGTGCGACAGGAGCCTCAGCTTTCGCGAGCCATAGTAGTGCAACGCCGACTTGGGATTGCCTCGAATTGGGGGCAATGCGAAGTTGCTTCGGGAATGCGTATCTAGTCTCTCTGCAAGACATGGCATGTTGCGTTTGCTAATAGAGGCATCGAGTCTGAGACAGAGGCATTGTCACATGAAGGGCCGCGTGCTTGCCTTTTTGACGGCAGCTCTTTGTCTTTGCGTCTTTCGATACTGAGGCTCTTTATGAGCTCGCACGTCAGCTCGCCTTCATCTTTTCCACCATGCAGTGCCAAGGCCTTCTGTAACTATGCGCAGAATCCCGGCTGCGGTGGATCCGCCACTGGTGGTGTGGTGACCTTCTCCAATCTGCGGCATGCCTGGGGTGCCACGGCACAATTGCTCAAAACGGTGGTGACCGCAAGGGCAGTGACGGGTTCTCAGCACGGTTGCCACGTGAGCATCAGCATTCGGGTCTTAAAGATGCAACAGCATCGACACGTAAGATCATGTGGATCAGCCGGCAGTTGCGAGTCAGTCAGGTGCAAATTGTGACCTTGGAGCCGTGATGAGCCATGTCAATGTACAAACAACGTCAGGCTCTGAAACCACCATGCATGGCACGGCTCAGGGCTGCAGATGGCTGGTGCTCAAGGCATTAAGCACCAATGATCAACATTGTCTTCGCTGTTCAGCGACATTGATACACGCCGCACAAGGTTGCCCTGTGAAGCCCGTGCTATCCATCCCACGCTCGTATGTTCGCGACTTGGTGTCTTGGCAGCATCTCCGACATCGAATTCACAGCCCTAACTTCGGGATGTTGTTGTGGGGGTCTTGCACCTGGAGATCGGAGGGTTTGCTCCGTTCGCTCCGCTCAGGATGACTTGCGTGCCAAGCCAGGCCTGCCGAGTTGCTTTGTGCCGCAGCCGGCGTGGAACAAGTTGTCACAAATCACCTCGACTTAAGCAGACTGACATCTGGCATCCTCTGGGCCAGCTTTCGTGGAGAGGCACCTACCAGACCCTAAAGCAGATGCTCCACAGTGGTTTTGATACTTATCGTGCACATGGACACAAAGGACCTGTGACTTGACAGCAAAAGATGGTTTCAGAGGTCCCAGGTTGGGTGGGTCCCCGCACGGGGCGAAGCGGCGAAGCGCAAGCTCGACTCTGAGGTCCAGCAGTGCATCCATTTTTCTTGGGTCTGGAGCTGAGCTCCAGAGGGCCACTTGACTTGGGGATCGAGCAAGAGCTTTTTTCCGAGGCGGTGAGTGTTCGCTGGGTACACCTCCACAGCTTTTGCACGGGAACCCGCTTTGATGGCATGCCAGGCTAGGGCTCCGGGATGCTTTTGGCTTGCGAGAGTCGAGCCCTCTCAGACTGCAGGTGGCTCATCTCTTTGTGCAACGATGTTCGGCCACGGTGTGGCTTGGCATGCGCAGTCAGCTGTACCTGCTTCCCGTGCTTCGCGTTGCCAGACAGTTGGCTTGTCACATCGCCCACGTAGTAGGCAGTTTCGGTATTCCATGCTCCCCCAGCTTCCACGCCGAGGATGCGCACAACATCGCATCGCATTGGGCGCGATAGAGCCACGGCGTAGAATCATATGTTCGACAGGTTCGTATGTCATGTCAAGCCAGAGCAACCCAACTATCCCAAACCAGACAAGACTCGAGGGGGCCGGTCGCCTGTCCACGAAGCTCCCAAGATCTCGCATGCATTTTGCAAGGCTTCTGCCATCAGCCATCACAGGCGGACATGCATGTGGCGAATGGCCAGGGTGTGTCCCGTGTTTGATGTGTTCCTGGGGTGAAATGGGAACCGCTTGTGCAGAGTTCGTTGATTGATCCTGTGCGTCGTTTGGTGTGGACGGCCCACTGCAGAACTTCGATACGGTACTGCCAGAACATGGCAGAGTGGACAGAACACAGGCATAAGCGTCCAGCTTGCGTGGGCCTTTCCAGAATTCGGATTCAGTGTCTGGTCCTGTTGGAGTCGGGGGCCGAGCGTTTAGCTAGGCCGACGGCCTACAAGCCCAGAGCACTTTGAATTCGCCCGGAGCGGTCTTTGCTGGGAGTTTTTCCCGCAGCGTGAACGGCACTCTCCGGAGCGGCAGTGGCTCAGACAGGGACGAGGACGTCATAGGGCGGCTGGCCGTAGCCCTTCGGAGCGTTGCATGTCTCGAATCTTCCTGGGGCTCTGACAACTTTGCGAACATCGCAGAGGGCTCCTGAAAGGGCTGAAGGCTCTGCGGGTGACAACGCAATTGCGCACTCCCAGACGAATTTCCTAAGCCTGTCATGCATGACCTATGGCACAGCCATAGGGGAGTTTTCTTCCTGGTGAGATCGTATCCAGGATGTGTGTTTGGGAGCTTTAGGGTATTTTTTGTGGCGACCGCCATCGCCGTCACAAGTCACACATAATGGCGTGTACAAGCGCTACGAGCCTGTACCTAGTGCCCTTTCGTGGGCGCATCCTTAAGTGCTGGGGAACACCGGCGAGGTGTCGGACAGCGACGTCTGCACTCAGTCTTCAAAAAGAGCGCCTGTCAGGAGTATCAGGTTACGGCCCACGGCTAAGTACGAGTTCATCGCCGAAGAAGAATGAAGAATATACCAGGGAGTGTAAAAAGTGCATGTCCATTGCACAGGATCACACGTTGACCATCTTGGCCTACGGTGCCGGACTGGTGGCGGCACTGCCGGCCAGGAGCCCTGAGGGCGACCTTGTGTTTTGTGTTCGTGCCGTTTCAGACAACAAGACCCCGCGTCTTTCAGAGAGCTGCCAAGCTTGGCTGGTCCGACGTCCGAACGAGGGCTTTCAAGCTTTGTAAGGGCCCGGGTGCTGAAAGTTTCTAAGAGTGCTGGAGATCCGCATCCGGGCGAGATGTGGACCTTCAGCTGAGGTGTCGGCGACCCTTGTCCGACGGCTTTCCCGACGTGGAGGTGCCGGCAAAGCAGTTCAAGCGTGGCGGCGCTAGTTGTGGCGTCGTGATGGCGCGCGCGCAACAATGGTGCATTGGCATCCGCCAAGAAAATCCAACTTACTGAAACAGTGCCCAAGTCGTTATTTACGAGAGCAGGGCTTGCCAGCCTGAAGACTAAGTCTAGGCAGAATGTCGAGTGCCTTCAACTTTTGGCAAGCTTCTCTGCAGTTTCGTAAGTTGGGCTTGCAGGGTTGGGTGTTTTTCTTCGTTGCGTCCTCATGAAGCAAAGCTGCATGCGGCAGCAGGTGTGTAAGCGGCATTCATTGAAAGACCGTGCCGTGGAGCCTGCTCTTGCTCGGTTTATCTGTCGAATTCCGAATTCCCCGAAGGGTGGGCAGCCAGAGAGGTCAGCGGCTCAACTTTCCTTGCAGCGATTCCACGCACCAAAGGCTTGCCAAACGCCTGCACCCTCGCAGCGAGGCTTCAGAGACAGAGCTCCTGGAGGAGCTTTCTTTTCTGCTTGTGTGCTTCTGGCTGTTCGGAGAGGTGTTGGGGTTGCTTCGGCGGGGCTTCATGTCGAACGCACGCAGGACGGGTTGGGGCATCCAAGTAGGCCCTGGCAGGCGGAAGAGCAGCTCGAGTGAATGAGCACCCGGCAGCGTAGTGATGTGCTTTCCGACAATCCTGTGTGGACATCAAGGGCTTAATTAGGGTGGAGGGCGGGTTGGGGCGTTCGAGAGCCTGTCAGCAGTTTTTTATGGGTATAGTGGTGTCTGTTTGTGTTCCCGTAGTTGCAGCCAGTCTCGCAAAGCAGTGCAAGGCTTGTGCAAGTTTCACCTCTACTGCAGAGGAGGGACAACAGGTAAATTACGAGAACTTACCAGCAATTGAAAGGCTTTTCATGGTTTTGACACTGTGGACTTCAAGTGGAAGTTCTTGCGATAGATTTTGTCACCGACACTCCTCTCAGAATTACAAGCGCCTGGTCTGCATTCGTCGGCGCAACTTGCAAAGCTCCGTCGACAGTAGCTCGAGGCACCCATGTGTCAGAAGCACCTGAGTGCTCTCCAGTAGGCCTCTAAAGCCACAATCAAATGCTTTGCTCTCCTACGCAGAAGACCCTTTTTGCCTGGCCTTTGCTGCTTCCAGACTTCATGCAGTCCTAAATTGCTCGTCCGATAAAGTTTGAGCATCAGAGTGGCTGGTCTTTTGAGAAATGTCCTCGCAGGGATGGCAAGCGATTGGGCCTTCCGTTCACTGCAAGATGTAGCCGCAATATCGCGATGCCATGCCTGCCTCCGCAGTTTGCCGGAACCGCGGAGCCGGAAGAACATCGTAGCGGGTTTGAAGGAAGGCGATCCACATCCACCGTGGATCTCGGGGACGAGTCAGCTCGCGGCATTCCGCCCAAAAGGCGCTGCAGACCCTGGATCCGGGCTGTGCCCCTTGACACTCATGCCACTCTGCCAGGTTCAGTTTGGCTTGGTTCCAGGATCCCACTGAATATCAGCTGTAGGTCGTCCCAACACGGGTTGGACTTGTAGCACATGTAGCTCTCACTGCTGCATGTCCCGGCCCGGGCGCGAGACAAAGAGAATGACTGCGAAAGTCCTACTCACAGCTTAATTGAAGCATTAGCAAAATTGCGAATCTAAATCGATTCCGTAGATGCTGCAGGCCCCGGTCTGGCCTCGGATGTGCCGCCGTCGACGGCTGAGTACCAACACGCGTGCATGGAGTGAAGCGATGTGGGAGGGGCCCGAAATTCTTGGCATGCTCAAACAAGACCTTGAAGAAAACAGTTCCTGAATCCGTGCTGAGGCCTCCTGTGCCGCCCGTTCTTTGCTCAGAGCATGCCTCGCTTCACAGCATTGAAGGGTGCCTGGGATCCTAGACAGGCAGAGCTCTGTGTGGGCGTGATCCACCAGAATGCAGGAGGCCAAGAATTGACTGCGCATTGGAGGAGTTCATGACAGGCAGATTTCAGTTCCGATGCACTTCTGATAACCTTTAAGGTATACTGAATTCCTTTATCCTCGATGTTTTTTTCCTGAGAAGCTGAGGTTTTCTATTTCGAAGGAAGGCAGCGACGAAGAATCTACCAGGCCAGTGCATGTCCTGGCAAGTTTATGCGTCTTCGGACATACAGATGACCTGGCAATTGTTGCCAACGGATGAAGGCGACTAAGCAGCAAGCGCAATGCTTTCGCGAAGGCCTTCACGATAACCCGGACACACCCTAACACTTTCAAAGCCTGCAGAGCGACCACCCTAAAACAACCGTCAGATGGTCACAAACGTCGACCTTGCACCTAATGATGTTGCATTGGTGCTAAACAATTCTCTGCAAGGACGTCGAACTCCATGCGCTCATCCTGACTCTTATCCTCACGCTTCTCCTCTCGCCGGGGTGTGGATCCCGGTATTTGGGGGTGTAAGATCTGGACCTTGGCAAGCTTGCTGAGAGGTTCCTGTAGGTACGCCGCAAAGCCTTCGGGCAGCTGCTGTTCAGCTTCACCTATGCTGTGACTGTGGGAACCAAGGCGAGGCTTGCTGGATCCAAGTTACTCCGATCAGTACCCCACCCACCGGCGTGGCACTTGGCTGTATGCGCTGCCAACACCGGCTGGCGCAACCAAACCCTTCTGCCTGCCGATGCAGTCTCCGCAAAGGCATCGACGGAACATTCCCTTCCTCCTCAGCGCGCACCTGAACCACAGTGCCAACAGGCTGTGGGCCCACGAAGTCAGGTCAGCTTTGGTAAGCAAGTGTAAATGTATGGCGATATGCCTCTTTGTTGCGGCGGTTCGAGCAACTCTCTGCAGCTTGATATCTCCCAAAGTTGTGCATTAATTGTCTTATCTCCCTCTCTTTTTTTTCAGGGTCTCCTTGCTGTGCATCGAAAGGGTATAAATTGGAGGACTGTGGCTTGTCATGATCGGTTTCACAAGCTATCATGTCGGAGACTCTTCCAAGCAATCGATGACGGGCGCTGCTGCGGCCTGAAGGCATGGCTAGTCCCTTCCTCCAACTTTCCGTATCTAGGGTCGGCATCGTCCTGGGTCACCACCTAGAGCAGATCGCCTCAAAAACTTCCGTCGCCAAAGAGCTCCAGCAAGACTTAGCTGGTGGGGTGCAGCCACTCGCCTCGGCACGTTGTCGAAATCCTGGCGAAGGAGAAGGCCGGATCAGCTGAACTTCCCATATCCAAAACTGAGACCGCACGGACACACCGGGGAATCGGCTGCAGGCAGAATGTATGGGCTGCGTAGTATCAACAACATGTACTCGGAGCATGCCGGGCAACGTCCGGGACTCAGCGGCGTTCTGCTGCCCACGGCGGCATCAGGCACCGCGCTGGATGGTGAATGCAATGATGCAAGTTCAAAGCTCCAAGCGGCCTAGGCAGTGATTTCATCATTGTCGGGCATCCCGAGTTCCAGCAGGGCAAGGCGCAGACCACAGGAATCAGATATCAGACATGTCTATTTGTTTTTGTTGATGGGCTTAGCCTAGCCGTTATCTTTATGCTCAGTGCTGTCTGATGCTCTTTCGTGCTCGCCCCTTCGCCCGGTTTCGGGTGATATGCGAATGTTTTGTCCTTGATCGCTCTTTGGTTTCCTTATGTGCACCTGGATTTTCATTATGCGAACCTGGCTGTTCCTCACCCCTTTCCGCCCCACGACCCCTTCGAGCCGAGCCAAGGAATGTTTGAACGAATCACGATATTAGGTTAAAGCCATTGCCGATTTATAGGTCTAAAACGAGACGGACGATTTTGCATCGGAGCCTTGGTATTTGCTCCGCATGTGTCGTTCAGGCTTCGCTTGCTATTCGGACAATGCCATGACTTCGTTCGCACTACTATGATAAGGCCTTGGTCTCTTTGCCCCTGTCGTATACTCAGGCTGCTCCACCCCGCCCTCTGGATCCCAAAATGGCTTCTGTTTCCGTTGTTTTTGGGCGGGCAACGAAATATTTGGGGCCAAGTCGTGGCACCCTTCCCCCTCCCCCCCCGCCGCCCCTCAGTCCCGTATTTCCAAATGGCGGTCATCTCCATTGTTATTTGTGGCCCTGAAACCAGCGTTGGAGGGGCCTCTCCCAGAACGGGAGACACCCACAGCATAAGAAGAACCACATGCCCCTTGTTGATCTGCCTCCACTCACCTCACACCAAAGAAGCCCTTGCCAACGCCGAATGCTCCCTCCACTTCCTCGTAGGTGCGGAGCACAACACGGACTTTCCCGGCTTGGGACATGAGGCAGCTGGTGTAAGGTAGGGATAGAGCGAGGCTCCGAAGCATTCTGGGGAGTTGTTGCCAGCATGTCGCACTTATCGTGTTGAGGAATCTCCCATGACCATTCAGCAAAGTGGCCAAGCCAGTGCTGGCTTGACATGCCTTGCCATGCTTGAAGCAGTGGCAGGCCACTTCCCAGCAAGCCGGGAAACAACTTGGCGAAGTCACGGCCGAGGGCCCAAGAAATCGCGACTCCGAGAGCCGCCCTCATGCTCGAGACATGAAACACAAGGTTGTTTGCACTTTCTAAGACTCAGCTGAGCAGTGAGCTTTCCCCGTATCATCAGCGGTGCCCATGACCGCCTTTCTGCGGCCCGGTTGTGCCTCTCTTCCTCTGCCTGATATCACTGAAATGATGCTCGTGTCAGAGAATCATGTCGAACAACATCAGGCAGAACTTCGCATGAGATTCCAAGAAAACTGCCCTTTCCTGAAGTGAGGTCGATACCAGCCCTGGTGCGACAGTTGAGCGCACGCACCCTTAGAGCATCTTAGAGCAACGGCAATCTCATGCACCTCTGCGCGATGTGCCGAGGATCCCGGTCCTGTGGGGAACCTGAAGGAACGTGCGTGGGAACCTCAGGATAAGAGCTTGTCAAAGAATTCGTGCTTCGTGGGACGGGCACTGCGGCTTTCTGTGGAATTTACGTGCCTTATGAAGCACATGACATAAGCAGCAACACAATGCAGACTTGCATCGAAACCCAAGATTTCAACAGTTCTGAGCCCACGACTCCATGCCATGAGCATCACGAATCCCGCGCGGCAGAGGTTGCGGAAGAGCGGCTCCAGGCTTGAGGCATCGGCGGGCTTGCGGGCCGATGCGGATGCATGCGGATGCCCCGGAAGTCCGTGTGAAATCGTGTGAAGGTCCTTCCAGCCAGCCCTCGAGAGTCGGTGGCAAGCAGCTTCCGCGCCTTTGAGCAGGTGGGCGAAGTGTGTGCTGTGTGCGCTGTAGACTGGTCCTGAGCTGTTTCTGGACGCAAGACATTCCCAAAGAATGAGGCGCCGAAATTGCAGATGCCGCCTGCTACTTCTAGACCTATATAAGTAGCTTCAGGCAGTCGTCAGCATGGGCAAGCACGAAGAGGCCAGGAAATGCTGTGCCGCAGCTACTTTGATCTCTCGGCATGAACTTTGCTGAAACAGCTACAACATTAGTTAGTCATTAGTCATCTGCAGTTGTCTCTTGCGCCAAGGCGGCAAAATTTTGCCGCGAGCAGCGCATGCGAACTGCTGCAAGCAGCTGCCCAAGTCTTCCAGGGTGAGGCCGCCAGCCGTGCAGTGACTTCTGCGGGTGTGAGGGCAACAGGCCTTCCGGACCTGCCCGGATTTTCTGTCACGGTCAGATCCTTGCCCGAGGTTTCGCTTGCGCGAGAGGGCATTCGGCAACGTGGGGGAGCCCATGTCATCTGTCGTTGTCTTGATATGGCTGGTTGCAGAAGGGAAGCGAATGGAAGCATTGAAAGCAACATACTGTAGTTCTGTGATGCGGTTCTAACCGGAACCTGAGCAAAGGGCAGCTTCAGAGCTTGTGCAGCCGGTGCCGAAACGCAGCCTTTTTGTCGCAAGTGTCAAAACTCATGGCGAGGTGCCGCAACTTCGCGACGCTTCACAAAGAGGTGAACGATATCCGAGAGCGCCTCGAGGTAGGTTGTTAATCGCTGCTCAAATGCCAAACTTTCTGGGACTTCAGCGTATGCAGTGCACCACGAATAAATACTGGCACATGGTGCACCGTGCAACACTCCCGCCCGCGAATTTTCCATTTAAACAATAAAAGTACGAAGTAGTCGTCCGACCTGAACTGCCGGCCTCATCCACACTAAAAGAGAACAGGATTCCATTATCTACTCGAGCAAGGACTGTATAGCCCAAGCGCACGACACGACAGACCGGTCCGAAAGGCCCGACAGTGCCGGGCTATAGGGAAGCTTCCCGAAGAAATGCTTTGCAAGGATCCATCAGCCCGTGAGCGGATAATGGCGTCCGGAACCTGGCAGAGAAAAAAACATAAAGAACCACTTTAAGACACCTTTGTCTTGGCCTTCGGTGGTTTACCCGAAGTCTCCTGGCTGCATCTCCAGGTTTATAGCTCGTTTCTGTACTCAGGCAGGCCGAAAGATGACGAAAGTTTGACCCAGTTGCTTCGAAGGGCTTTTCCCGTCCCTGAAGGCACCTGAGACTCTGGCATTGAACATCATGAAATCACTACAAGATAGTGCAACTTCACAGTTCAATGCGGTGCACAAAACACTCTGTAGACCAGGACATGTAATTTGACATTCGGGGCTCTCCGCCCGTGCTGCCTTGCGGTAGCTTCTGGCTTCACCGGGTAGCTGGATGATGAACCTCATTGCTTAGACTTGACTCCGCCTAGGCCTAGGCGGCCTGACTAGGCCTGGACTCCTGGACGCCTCCGCAGGAAATCTTGCGACAAGAAACACCCTGTCATCTACCTGTGGGCCAAGGTCGGATGCCTGGAAGTACTACGCACAGCACCTGGAACAGGCTTCTACGGGCGACTTGTGCGGTGTGGGCTTAGGTTGCAAGCTGGACCTTCTTGCGAGTCATTGCTGCTTGCTCTCTGCTCGTGTTCATCAGGATGCGATTGATTTGCCTTTCAATCTTTGCGGCGTTACAGATCCTAGAGGTGCAAAGCTTGCGAAGTGGCGTTTAAGATAGTTTAACGCTTATCGTTTCTGGGTTTCGCTATTTTTTCCCTCGCAGATCCCGATCCTGTCCCGGCTTCTTAATTTGTGTGATGAGCTTGCAGTCCTACTCGGATCTTCTGTGTTACGAGCGTGTCATGGTTCTTATCATCTGCGCAATGCATCTGCGCAATGCCAAAGCAAAACTATTCCGCCGCAGACAACATCATCGAACCACCCGGCGTTGATCAGCACAAGCTCAAGCATAGGCTGCATGTGAGGTGTTTCATCATACTTACGACGACCAAACTCCACCTTGCTACTTGATGCTGCCTGCAGACTGCAAAGCACTTTTGCTTCCGACCGACGCATTGCACCAAAATCGGCAGTGATGTCCTGCTTTGGAGGCCAAGCAGCTGGAAGCCGCACTAAGGCCGCAAGCAAAAGGGTTCCAAGAGTGGGAATGTTGGGTGATGTTGGGCGTTCCGCATCCCGCAATGCAGCATTCGTTCGAACTCAGAGTCGGTCCCTGGTCATCGATCCATCAGTCCCGGAGTCTAGATGAGTGGCTACACAGTTTTGTGTGACATGTGCTGCTTGACCCGGCGACCTGCGCTCTCCTGTTGTTCGGAGTTGTTTGTACACTACACGACGCTCACATGCAGGCGCCAGCGCAAGAACATGGAGCCAAACGTCGGGGCCCAAACGTGTCTTGATCAAGATGTGCCCTGCCTGATTGCGAGAGAGTGCACCATCCCACTCCTCAGACCCTCGCAGAGATTCCTGCGAGTGCAGAGGGAGTGAGAGCCAAGGAGCCGCTCCTTCCACACTTCCCGCTTCCATCCGCTTGCCCCTCCCGCATGATCAGGTGCAAGCCTTGCACGACTCGGCCACGGGCAAGTCTAAGTGAAAGCTCCAACAGATTCGTTGAGGGTAGGATAGAGTACAGACCTCCATCCAATTGATTACGACCTGGCACACGGAACGTTACTTGTAGCGAAATGAAACCGACTGGCTGTCACCGGTGCACCTGCAGCAATGGGTCTGCCAAAGTGGCAGATGCCCCATGGTATGCTTATACCCGTATCCTTGAGGCATGACACCATCCTGCACGTACCAGTGTGTAAGAAACAGCGGGCCATCTTCAGAATGGAAGTCCAGTGCCGCAACACAAGATTTGTGCCGCTCCCACTTCGAACTAACTATAAATTCCGTCTCAGAATCCTTTCATAAGATTGCCGTCATGTTTGGAAACGGCCGTGAGTGACTCGCAGATGGGTGTGAGGGAACTCCGAAGGAGATCTCTAACGCCTTGAGGCTGCAAAGCCTGGCATGCAGCTTCCGAAGACAGGCGGAAAAAGGAGCGATTCGAGGGTGCAGGTCCAATGCCTCTCAGTCTCACTACAGTGCACCAACGTTGAACAACCTTGTGGCCTTATGGGTGCCGAGGCAAAATTGGGCATATCGCAGCGAGCAACGAATACAATCGTTTTGAAGACATAAAGCATTGAAGAGAATTCGGAATGACGTGGGGCTGAAAGATGCTGAAAGTACAAGTGCTTCTGACGCCACTGCAGCTTGCAATCCGGCCAGGAGTGTCCTGCCATGGGTCTTCCAGCAGGTGGGGCTGTGAAACATCCTTGGGCGTGTGATCAGTTGTTATTATTCGTTGTCGGCATCTTGCACCGACGGGATCAACGCGAGACAGATCAACCAAATCGGCTATGCGCATCATAGGCGATCACTAACTCAGAGCAATCTTGAAGTGCGGATGGCCACGAAACTGCGGCTCGAGCCACGACGCGAGAATCCGAAGCGAGCCTGCGCAACGCTTCATGCCTCCTAAAGAGTCAAGCCAAGGCCAAGCCACGAGCCTCGCTCGCGAGCTAAGAGTCCAGCAAATCCTGTGTCTGTTTCGAGATGGTTTATGTCCGTCGGGTGGTGGGCAAAAGGCACCGGCCCAAGCCGAAAAGGCCGGAGCGCTTTAGGTGCGGCATGCCGTATGCCGTATGCCTCTTATGCATTCTCCACGGCCTCTCTTCGTAATTTCTTGTTTGTAGCCAAGCATCCGGATCAGGTGACGGACGCTGTTGCTACTAGTGACCCCTGTGTTTACAATCTGCTCTGCTGTCTCGTGGTCATGATGGCCACCTTGAGTTCCAATAGTTTCGTTGTGCCGACCCCGCGAAATCCTCAAGCTGCCAGGTGGATCGAATCGGGCGCATTGGTGAGCTACGTCTTTTGAAGCTTCTCGTCGAGTCGGCAATGCACCGCTGGATGCACGCCTCTCAGGTTTGGCAATGTTTGGCATGCATGGCAGGGAGGCCTCTCCGTCGCACATCGCAAGGAATGACAGGTGCGGATTTGAAGGACTTGGGATTCTCGTGAGTGCTCGGCCCGACAATATTCCTATTGCCTTGGACGCGATGTAGAACGAAGGAATATCTCACGTTCACGTGCAGTGCGATCACTTTCGGCGTTTTAGGCAACGCGTCCAGCCTTGGTTTGTGTTTACGTGTGTAGGCCTGTGTGAGTTCAGGTTCCAGTGCAAACATCGCATATCACTGCTCGGTTTGAAATTCCCACCCGCCCACCCCAGATGGGGTAGGGTCGGGAGCACGCCGCGAGCGTGCTGAGCTTCGGGGGGACTCCGAAAAGACGTTGCATGACGTTGCCGCAGAAACCCTGTGCTTGTGCCCCTTACAGTTGCGGGAAAAAGCAGCAACATGAAGTTTGCACCCCACTGCCAGGTACACCAACATGCGGGTGGTGGGCCAGGGGCAATTCGGAACTGCTTGTGCCTCAAATTTTGGATATTTTGGGCTGTGCCTTCCAAATCCGAACAGTGTCTACGTTTGCTACGTCTTTAACTGCTGATCACCTGCTTCCCGACGGCAAGCGCCTCACGTCAGTTAATGCAAGCCCCGGCTCCGTAATTGCAAGCACCCCTACGATTCTGTTAGGCAGTGCCCTATGCCGTATGCGGGTTACCATTATCAGTTCTTGCAGGTGATGCAGAGCGGCGTTACTCTGGGCAATCATGGTAACCTTCAGGCAATCTTGAAGTTGGTTTCGCTTCCTGTGCCGTGGGCGGTCGAACGAAGCAGTGCTGACACCAACGATGGTCTTCTTTTGCGGTGCCGTGCAATAACCAGTGGTTTCGTTCTGGATGACGAGCCAACATGCGGTTCAATGTTGTCACAGTTTGTTTTCCACCGCGCAGGTTGCCATCAAGCACATCCCGAAACAAACAAACATCCAGGACTTGCTTCGGAGCCTGCTGTCGGCGAGACATTCGCTACCCGCTGCATGCATCTCACACTAGCTTTCTCAAACTCGTCTAGCTGCGGGGGGTTTCACAGGATCGCTGCGTTTTGGTCGATGTCTTCAACGAAATCACCTGCTTGGACACGGTGCGATTCGAGGAGAGCTGTCGGATGCTCTCTCCTCCCGGTTCCCACAGGCCCCTGTAGATTCGACTTTTCTATCTTGATGGGCCCGGCTAGATTCTCCAGGAGACTGTTGAACATGGCGTAGAATATGTGCTTTGAGGACCACCTCTGCCAAATCTTCGACTTCGGTGTGGAAGAGTCTTGCTACTGGATTGTGATGAAGTGCCTTGCCTCAAAGTTCAGAACCAATGCGCAGTTGGCCACGATGGTACCATGGAATAGCTTCCCAGCTGTTACTCGACTTCTCGGGCTTTCCACCGCATGCCTTTTTGTCCCTTGATGTTTGGCTTCGGCAAGCATGGCATTTGTCAGCAGGCACCGTTGTTTCCGATGGCTTCACGAGGGATTCGACAATATCCATGTCCAGAAGCAGAAACCAGTTGACAGATGCTTTGCTAATGAGGTGTTATGGCACCACGTTGAAGAGGTGGCATGTGGGATCTGCACCGCTACGATGCAAGGGGATATTTAGCAGGAAGAAAGACACGTATCCTTCCCACATTGCCCCATCTGAAGCAGGTGGCGAGAGCAGCTGATTGGGCCAGCAACACAGAGAGACACACAGACACACAGAGACTTCGAGGTTTCGGGGATCAGTGTTTGCCATATCCGCGTGTTTGCAAGGATCTGCGTGAGTCGTGCGGTCTTAGTGTTTTTCGGTGTCAGAGGCATCGCGCCGTGCACTCTGCAGTGGCGAGTTTAGATGATAAACATAGTATCAGTGGATCGGGTTTTGGGGTTGGGGTCTGAAAGCTCTGTGCTGTGGCCCTGTGGGGTTTCGTACTTAATTCTCTCAACTTACAACAAGCATATTGAGATTTTCCCAGATGCATCTTGTCAGGTGATTCGTGGATAGGCTTGCTGGCTGTAACATTCGCGGCTTCGCCTCTGGAATATTTTGGGTTTGGGTCAGAAGGCCGCAATGTCAAGGTCAAGGTGTTGCCGACAGTGTCGGGCCTTCCCGTCGGAACTGGCAGTTCAGTTTCGCAAACACGGGGAGAGAGCCGGATTGAGGTCGTAGCATATGACAGCAGGTGACAGCCGTGCCAGCGCTAGCAGTGACCCAAAGAGTTCACCACTGTCGTCATCTTCGTCATCATCAGCATCATCATCATCATCCTCATCATCATCCTCATCAGCATCAGCATCAGCATCAGCATCAGCATGAGCATCAGCATGAGCATGAGCATGAGCATGAGCATGAGCATCAGCATCATCATCATCATCATCATGATCATCATCAGCAGCATCATCAACATTCACAGCTGTCGCGCTCATGACACAAATCATGCAGATACATGAAAATAACAACCACTGACTGCGATCAGTCACAAAGCAATAGTAATAGATAGTGATAAACAGTGGCTGTTGGTGTTGACCGCTTGTGCACGTTGAGACAAGTTTATCTTGCAACCACAGGCCGTAGAATATAAAGGCGAGTCAAGCTGCTAAGTTCAAGGACTCTGACTGATCATCTTCCGGTACTGCTGGCAATTTTCAAGCAGATCCTGGAGGTCGCGTCCTCCACCTTGATGCCTTGCAGCCTTGCAGTGCGAGGCGAGAGAAAAATAGATTTTCCGGTCGCCCATTTTTGTGCAGGCTGTGGCCGTGCTGCACAAGCATGATATCGTCCACTATGATCTCAAGTGCGACAACATCATGATTGAATCAGCTCACAAGTGTGTGCCCCAGCAACTTCAGTAGGCTCCACATCAGCTTGCGGTAGCCTGGCTGTGCAAATCAATTGCGTGCCATTGCAATCATGCAAGAGCATCGAGTGAACGGGAAGGCACTGCGAGTGGCACGACCCAGCCCGAACGTTGAAGTCAATTTAAACCTGTAGCCACTTCCAAGTGACAGGTCCTCAAGTCCGGGCAGCGACATGGTCCCTTGCCAGCAAGTGCTAGCGACGCTCACGGCGACTGTATCGAGAAGCCACATAGTGGCTTTTGAGGGCAGGTAGCTGCGTATCATGAGCTACGGAAGTGGCTGGCCCCATGTCGGCTTGCGTGTCTTGTTTCAGTCAATACAGTGGCTGAATCCAGACACCTCGACGCAAGCGCAGCAGGACGATGGCACCGTTGCGGAATTCGATGGCACAGAAGAGGCATTGCTCTCGTTGATATGCAGACCCAAGCTAGTCATGGGAAGTTTATGAGTAGTTCGTGCCTCGATAGCCGTCCGAGGATTGAATCCACCAAGCATGCACCGGCATGCAACCATGCTGACCGATGATCTTGAACAACAGTCGCTGTTGTGGTGGTGTTGGTTGTGCTTGTGCTTGCGGTCGCAGTTGCGGTTGCGGCTGCTGCTTGTTGGCTGTTGACCGTTGGTGGCTGCAGCGGCAATAGTAGTAATATGTAGTAATTAGCAGGAGTCGAGCTAGTCGTAGTCGTAGTCGTAGTCGTATTCGTGGTCGTAGTCGTTCTCGTAGTCGCGGCAGTAGTAGTATCAGCAGCAGTAGCAGTAGCAG